CCATCCAGGCACGCAGGGTTAGAAACTAGAAACGCCAGGGCCAGGGGCGGGCTTGGCCGCCTGACTGCTTGCGTCTGATGCGTCTGACCGAACATCCCGGTCCGCTTATGACGCAACCCCTCAATCGGCTCCAACCCTGGGAGATTGCGGCTAGTGTCGAAGCGGTGAGAAGCTCCACGAAGACAGACAGATCCCAAGGCAACCAGCAAGCGACCGCAAACCAAGATTATCCAGATTCGCCAATTCTGTGGAGCGACGCAAGGCCCCTGCAGACACCACGCCGTCAACACGAGACCTCTGCATTTAACCCAGCCATTCCGCGCCGCGTCATCCCTACTCGTCGTCTTTCTAGGACCTTGCTTCATTCTGACCTCACTTATTCGGCTGTTCTGCCTTTGATCTCATAACAACACATTCAGAACATCCCCCCCTTGCTGACCTGATTTTTCCCAGTTCGTCGTCGACAACAACTGGATCACCGACCACACGGCCCCGCAAGAGCCTGATCACGAGGGAAACGTAAACAACTTCCTGACGCCCGAGCAGATTGTGAAGGAGAACCCCATCGCCGCCATCATGAACACCACCACTCCCGAGTCTACCACGGCCGCCCTGGCCAAGGATGTGCCTCTCGAGAACTCCAAGGCGAGCGAGGAGGAGCCCAAGGCCACCCCCGTCCATGCCATTGGCGGCTTCCCCCAGACGCCCGTCGACGAGCTCGACAAGACCATCAGCGTCAACCCTCTGCCTGCGAGCGATGTGACCAAGCCCCAGCCCAACATTGCGCCCGGCGAGCCTCTCCCCCCTTCCACCCACGCTGGTGATATTCACTCCCAGGTCACTCTCGACAAGGAGTCGTACGAGAAGAGCGACCGCCTGCCCGGCTTGACCGAGGCAAACTCTACCCTGCCCAGCACCACCGGCGCCGACATTCCCGAGTCCAGCCTGCCCATGCCCGCTGCTGCCATTGCTGCCGGCATTGACACGACCACCATCAACACGGTGACTCCCGAGGCCAGCACCGCCGCTCTCGCTGCCAACGTGCCCAGACTGTTAACGCCGCCGCGCTCGACGCCAAGGTTCCCGAGGCTGTCGTTGAGAGCCAGAAGGCCGCCGG